GCATGCATTTTGATTGAATCTTGGCTCTGGTTCTTATTAGCTATGGAGAGTCACTGGAAAGGGAAAATAAAGCAATGTGGATAAAAGTTTAATTCGCTGCATGTGCTCAATGCATGGCTGTTATTATTTTTCTCTTCCTTTGTCAACTTGGTATTTCCATGTTGAGGCAAAGATATTTTTAAATTTTGTAACTTCTATTAAAACAGCATTTCTAGAACTGGTTTTGCATTGATTTTAAAAGCTGATGGAGTATTAAGAATCGTAGACTTTTTTTGTTATGTCTGAGTTATTTAAATATTGACTCAGCTTTACCTAGTATAAATTTTATTTTGGTTTCTAGTAGAAATATCTGATTCAATTAAGTTTTGCTGAGTTGTTTAACATTATAGTCTTTCACTATCTGACCTGAGTAAATTAAGCCCACAGTAAGGTAGCAAATGGAATCATGGTGAGTTCTGTGTGTAGAGGGGAAAAAATCATAACTATGATAGAATAATGTTTCAGTATGTATTAGTAATCACAAAACAAAATTTAAATGTAGCTAAAGAATGAAATACCTGGCTTAAGGCTCTGGTCCCATATATTTTTAAATGATTAGTTACAATGGATTTTTTAACTCAATATTTGCTAATGTTTTAAAAATAAATACATCTGATTAAAAAAAAAGTTCAATTATATAGCCATCTTAAATTTGTAACCAAAAATTTGACCTACTTAAAGGAAATTGCTTTATATATTTATTGCTTAATATATTTGATTAGTCTGTGTGGCTATATGCTATTATGTCTGGTTGGTCATTCAAACATATTACTATTTTTAAAAAGACTAAAGTGTGAAGGAAAATTCAAATCTCACACATGGCATTTAATCATGAACCTGGGCAATAAACACATACTTTCAGGTCTAAATTCTATGTTATTTGTCTTGAACAGGTATGTCATTGAACTGAGGTCAAGAATTGAAGTGAAGTTGATCTTTTTCTTGTGAATCTTGTTCATATTTTAAAAAAATAGATTTCATCATATTAATCAAAGTTTGTATTTTATTTTTTAATTTGGCTTATCTCAATTGTGACCCATCATCCTTTAAAAATATCTTAATTTGTTCTTATAGATACACCTAAGAAGATCTAATAGTGTTAGAAAAATTTAGAGATTAGCTCATAAAATGTTCACGGCTACTCTGTAGAACCAACATGATTCAGTACACTCTCCATTGAACAGAATTGTCAAGATTCAACTTTATTAACACATTTTGTCATTTAATATTCATTCAAATATTGTAGAATAAATATTAATGCTCTCAGTCTACAGGTGAGAGAATATAGGAATCATTTTATACCATTTCTGAAAGGTCTAGAATGCTGAAATTCTATTCCAATGCTCCATGCACTGACACACTATCTCATGTGAGTCTATGTCAAAAGAAAATTATTTTGTAACCAATCACTTGGTGTTTTAATGTTATTTAATAGAAAGATAGCTAATAAAATGCAGTTGTAAATTAATGAGTTAACCTGATGGTTTTATAAATGACATGAATTCACCCATCATTTTCATTTGATTTTACAGGGAGTGGCATGGACACTTGACCCACTGTCATGTCCCTGTCTGTGACCTGCAAGTGGGAACATATATTTTGCCAAAAATAAATACGAGGATGCAGTTCATGTCCCCCTATTTCACAATATTGAGTCAGAAATCTTTTTATCCTTTTTGTAAGTGAATTGTAATTTTACAAATATCTTTAAGTTTTGTCCATGAGGTTTCAACATGAAGAATGCCACAGACACTGACGTTACTATGTTTGTATTGAAGGGTTTCACAGACAATCTTGAATTGCAAATTATCTTATTCTTCCTGTTTCTAGCAATCTACCTGTTTACTCTGATGGGAAATTTAGGGTTGCTTGTGTTGGTCATTGAATATTCCAGGCTCCACAACCCCATGTACTATTTCCTGAGTGTGTTGTCATCTGTGGATGCCTGCTTTTCCTCAGTAATTACACCAAATATGTTAGTAAATTTTCTATCAAAGAATAAAGTCATTTCATCCCTTGGATGTGCAACTCAGATGTTTCTCGCTGTTACTTTTGGGACCACAGAATGCTTCCTCTTGGCTGCAATGGCATATGACCGCTATGTAGCAATCTATAACCCTCTCCTGTATTCTGTCAGCATGTCACCCAGGGTCTATGTGTCACTCATCATTGCTTCCTATGTTGGTGGCATTTTGCATGCTTCCATACACACAGCGGCCACCTTTAGCCTGTCCTTCTGTGCATCCAACGAAATTAGACATGTCTTTTGTGACATCCCTCCTCTCCTTGCCATTTCTTGTTCTGACACACACACAAACCAGCTTCTACTCTTCTACTTAGTGGGCTCTATTGAGATCGTCACCATCCTGATCGTCCTGATCTCCTATGGTTTTATCCTGTTGGCCATTCTGAGGATGCATTCTGCTGAAGGGAGGAGAAAAGTCTTCTCTACATGTGGCTCTCACCTAACTGGAGTGTCAATCTATCACGGAACCATCCTCTTCATGTATGTGAGACCGAGTTCCAGCTATGCTTTGGACCATGACATGATAGTGTCAATATTTTACACCATTGTGATTCCCATGCTGAATCCCATCGTCTACAGTTTAAGGAACAAAGATGTGAAAGAGGCAATGAAAAGAGTGTTTGGGAAAAATGGGTTTAAGAAAAAAAAGTGTTTTTACAATTAAAACTAAAAAAGTTGAGAGTGATGTTCTGTGCCTCAATATAAAAAGAGATGTGATTAATATTTTTTTAGTTTATTAATGTATTTGTGTTTTTCTGGATATTTTAAAATAAAGATCATAGTCAACCCTCTACCTCTGATATTTTTACATGTAAAAAAGTTATTTTCAACTTGATTCTTAATACATTCTTACTGGCATATGTATATAGTAAATAGGTCCTTATACTGATTGATATAACACAAACATTAGAGTAAATGCATTTTTTAAAATTTTTTAAAATATATTTTATTGATTTTTTACAGAGAGAAGGAAAGAGGGATAGAGAACTAGAAATGTCGATGAGAGAGAAACATCGACCAGCTGCCTCTTGCACACCCCCTCCCGGGGATGTGCCCGCAACCAATGTACATGCCCTTGACGGGAATTGAACCTGGGACCTTTCAGTCCGCAGACCGACACTCTACCACTGAGCCAAACCGGTTTTGGCTGCATTTTATTTTTTAAAAAGAATAAGAATACTAGTGAAATAAGCTAGTCACAGAAGGACAAATACTGCATAATATTATCTACATGAGGTATATAAAATCGTTAAACACATAAAAGCAGAGAGTAGAATGGGAGTTGTCGGGGACTAGGGGAAGGGGAAATGGTTATTGTTATTCAATAGGTATAAAATTTTAGCTATGAAAGATGGTTACATTCTAGAAACATAATATGCAACACTGTGCCTATAGTTAGTATCACTGTATTGTACACTTAAACATCTGTTAAGAGGTTATATCTCCTGTTAAGTGTCTTTACCACAATAAAACGAAATAAAAGCACTTGGAAAATAGAAAAAAAGTTGAAATAGTTAATACTAGTAGTTGTTTTCTCTGGATGGGTGGAAGGAATGGGAATGAGAGAGGTTTAGTCAATGAAAAATAAGCTTATATTTAATTATATATTGCTTTAAAGTAATGAATCTTATAAGATAAAACTGTTGTATGATATAAATAATAAAAATGTGGTATTTCTTTTGTAATTTTTCTGCATATTTATGTGTGTGTACATGTAGACAAGTGTGTGGGTTTCTTACAAATATTTTGAAAAGTGAAATCTTGTGATTCACTGATGATGCTTAGTTTTGTCTGCTTGACCTTGACCAGCATAAGTTTATTAAATAGCCTAATTAAGAAATAAAAAATTGCCAAAACCGGTTTGGCTCAGTGGATAGAGGGTCAGCCTGAGGACTGAAAGGTCCCAGGTTCAATTCCGGTCAAGGGCATGTACCTTGGTTGCGGGCACATCCCCAGTAGGGTTGTGCAAGAGGCAGCTGATCAATGTTTCTCTCTCTTATCGATGTTTCTTTTTTTTTTTTTTTTTAAAGGTCAACCATCAGGTGTATTAAGGAGAGGACAGATGGGGCACCTCCAGGAATGCCTCCATGGGCAGCCACCTTAGTAGTTTGTTGGGGTTAAGGAGGAGTTTATGGGGCTCCTCCAGCAAAGATGAGCTCCAGAGCTGCTTGGATGTCCCCCCCAGTGGTCTGTAGGGTCGCAGGCTCAGCTCATCATCCTGAATGCCCATGTCACGCAGCTGCTGCAGCTGGGGCTGCCACTGGCTCTGAAGGTTGGGCTGCCCAGAGGCCTGCAGGGCATGCTGTAGCGCTTGGCTGAAGAGATCATTGGTGATGGGCGTCCCTGACTGGACACCAGAGGATATTGGTGAGGTCCCGGAGGAATGGCCCTGGGTGCCAGGAGTTGGCGTGTGAGAGCTGCTCTTTGGAGTGCTGGCCAGGGCCAGGGCAGTGGGCAGCTCACTCTGGGTGATGGGTCGGGGTCCTGCAGCTCCACTGTACCCCAAGGAAGCTGGGCGGGAGCTGGGTGCGCTGCGAGAGGGCATGGACCTGGCTCTTGGGTGAAAGTCGTCCTCATCATCAGAAAGCCCCTCAAACAGGAAACCACCTGGCATGTCCCAGTAAGATCTGGAGGGTGTGCTCTTGGAAAAGGAGTCTGCCCCCGGTAGAGGCGTGCTGCCTGCCACCGAGTGCAGAACCAAGACAATGGCATTGACTAGGGCTGGGTGAGCAGGTACCAATGTATCAAGCATGTTGAGATCAGCAAAGACAGAAAAAAGGTCTTTGTCCTAGAGTACCCCAAGAGCAATGGGGTCACTGCTGAGGCCTGGGGTGGCCACAATGATCTGATCCAGAGATTCCTTATTGCTGAGCATCTTAAAGACCGCCTCCCTGTAGGAAGAGCTGCTTTGCAAGGCAGTGTGCAGCACCCGGAACTACCGCAGGGCAGCCACTTTGTCCACAGGTTCTGGTTTCTGATCAGGCTCTGGCCAAGACTTGCGAAGAACATGGATTGTGGACCCAGGTTGAATGCTATAGAAGTCAAGGGTCTGGTCATCTTTTAGCTTCCGGCCACCGTAGATTAGATCAATCAGCTCAGGGTCTGGAACGGACTCCTGGAGTTTGCCAGCGATAAGCTGCTTCAGAAATGAAACACTATAGCCCCCAAGTTCTGTCTCTGGCAACCGAAGAATAGACTTTGGGGTAAGTGATTGGTCAGCCAGTTTCACCGCCAGGTGCCAGTCTGAGAGAGACATCCTCTCTTTTTCATGCTCTCTCTTTCTCCCCTACCGTAGTAGCTCATTTAACCCTCACAATCGTTCCCTGAGGCAGGCATTCTCGTCCACCTATTACAGACCAGGCAACCAAGACCCCAGAAATTCACTGGCACAAAGTCACCAGCAGCTAGTAGTGGGGAAGACACTCTCTTTGGCTACGACCCCACCGCTCCTATGGGACCAGCTAACTTGTCACATAAGTCAGGCCCACGTGGCCCGGGGCCCAGTGCCCTCACCCGTCCCCTCATCGATGTTTCTAACTCTCTATCCCTCTTTCTTATTCTCTATAAAAACTCAATAAAATATATTTATAAAAAAAAAAGAAATAAAAAATGAAAAATAATTCTTTGTGCAATAATAATATGACTCAAATGAGAGATTGTGTTGTGAAATTAAGCATCAATACCAGTAGAAAGTATAAAAGAGTTTTTAAAAATCTTTATAATATTATAGGAATGCTAAATAGATAAAGTTGGCAGAGCCAATGAGGGAATGAAAATATTGTTAACTAGTGGTCCAGTGCACAAAATTCATGCCCAGGGGTGGGGGGGGGGTGACCTTTAGTATGACCTGCACTCTCTTCAATCTGGGACCCCTCAGGTAATGTCTGACTACAGGTAGTTGAAACATCCCTCTTGCAATCTGGGGCTGCTGACTTCTAACTGCTCACCTGCCTGTCTGCCTGATTGCCCCTAACCACTCTGGCTGCCATCCTGCTTGCCCTCAACTGCCCCCGTTGCCGGCTTTCTCTCCCCCAATGCCCCCAACTATCTTCCTCTGCCAGCCCAGTCACCTCCAACTTCCCTCCCCTGCAGGCCTGGTCTCCCCAAATTGTCCTTCCCTGCAGGCCTGGTTTCACCCCCCAACTGCCATCCTCTACTGGCCTGGACACCTCCAACTGCCCACCCTTGCAGGCCTGGTCCCTCCCAACTGCCTTCCCCTGTTGGTCATCTTTGACCACATGGGGGCAGCCTTCTTATGTGTTGGAGTAATGGTCAATTACCTCTTTATTAGGATTGAGCACAGTACAATCTGACTGTGTCTTTGCTCATATGGAAGGCAATAGCCAATGGTCATTATAGAGGAAGCTACCACATAATCTTCATGGGACTATTTGGAATCTGAAAAGAACCTCAAGGATTTAAATTCATTATACTGATAACTTGAAGTTGTTAAAAAATCTCCTTATTGTTCACAGTTTGTCTGTTTCTTCATTAATTTTGGAGCTTAAAACGTAAAGTAACCTTCTTAGCCATACCAGGATGTAAAAGCACAGTTGTGTCCTGCCTTAAAGTACAGAATATTCTAGAGAGTGATATGTAAGGTATCACTGCTTCTTTATTAAAGTTACAATTATATTAAAAGTAGATTAAGACACAGCAAACAAAAATCTTTAAAATCACATAACTAAATTATATATCTAACTAATATAATTTAAATAAAAAATATATTCAATCTTCTTACAACCATTCACATTTTGAATTTATGTTGTATATCACCTAATATTTATGACAAATACACTAGGCCTTGTTCTTCTTATTTTTTTTTTTAATTTATTTCAGAGAGGAAGGGAAAGTGAGAAAAAAATAGAAACATCAATGATGAGAGAGAATCATTGACTGGCTGCCTCCTGCATGCCCCACACTGGGCCACAACCCAGGTATATGGCCCAACTAGGAATTGAACTGTGACCTCTTCATTCATAGGTCTATGTTCATCCACTGAGTCACATTGGCTGAGCTGAAGGTCTTGTTCTTGATGTAAGAATAGAGATGCTGTCTTTAATCTACTCCAAAGCATTGACATTAAAATTGAATATTGGGGCCGAAACTGGTTTGGCTCCGTGGTGGAGCGTCGGTCTGCGGACTGAGGGGTCCCAGGTCCGATTCTGGTCAGGGGCATGTGCATTGGCTGCAGGCACATCCCCGGTGGTGTGTGTGTGTGTGTGTGTGTGTGTGTGTGTGTGTGCAAGAGGCAGCTGGTCGATGTTTCTCTCTCGTCGACGTTTCTGGCTCTCTATCTCTCTCCCTTCCTCTCTGTAAAAAAAAATCAATAAAATATATTTAAAATAAAATAAAATAAAATTGAACATTGGGGCCAGAACCTGGTGCTTTCATTAGATTTCCTCCATCTCAAGGGCCAGCAACACTTCCCAAATATAGGGGTGCAATTTAAAACAAAGAATGGAATCAGTGTATGTGATTGTTATTCAATATGATTATCTAAGAGAGTCCCTAAGCTATCTACACAATTCTTATTCTTTGGGTGAAATTTTTGGATGGAGACTAGATTAATGAGCACTTAATTTGTCTTTCCAGGGGGGAATTAGAGCTTTGGGAATTCTGGTTGTCATGTTTAAGGAATGGGGCTACATACAAATGTATTTCAGTATGAAGGTGTTCAGGGATTAAAACTCTTTAACATGCTTCCTGGAGCAACCTTAAGAGGAGGTCTCAGCAGATCTTTGTGTACAGGTAGGTTAAAGCAAATAGTCATTACTAATTCTGGCTGTTGGACCAAGTATCTTGGAGGCTGAGTAATTCAAATCAGATCCCAGGACCAAAATGTTATCTGCTCTGTTCTCTTTTCTCCGATTGCCCACTGATTGCTAAGTGGAAGTGATGGTGGTATGACTTAAAAAATAGTGTCCAGCATCCTCACTGGTAAATTGGACTGCTTTAGCATTTAGACAGAATAATGAATAGTCATTACAGGGAGTATATTTCACCTTAATATAAAAAAGAATGTTTTCTTTTTTACCATAGACCTGGCAGAATTGATGAATGTTTTAGAGGGCACTCTACACCAGATAGAAAACTTCTCAAGTGTCTGTCATATAAGATCTATGTCTTCAAGAGAGACCTACAAAATTACTTGCTATCAAGAAAAACAACTTGTTCTCCCCTTCCTTCTTTTGGCATTGCTCAGGGTGATAAACCTTAGGATGAAATGATTCCCTGATGTTAACAATTAGTTGCTGATGGAACACTGAGAACTCCTATCAGAATGCAGTGTTTGTTCCCAACACAACAGAACTCCTATCAGGATGCAGTGTTTGTTCCCAACACAATCTCTAAATAAATTTAAGACATACTCTACAGTTAGAATATGTAATCTCAATTAAACATAGAGTAGAGTAATCTCAATGAAACATAGTTTTGAAATCATATCAGAAGCTAATTAAAATTAATCTGTACTATCATGTCTTATAAAAAATATAAGATAAAATGTTTAAAACTATGTATATTTTAAATTTTGTACTTGCTGAGAATGTATTAACTTGGTAGACCTATAAACTATTTATATTCAAAAACAAATTAGAAAAATTATTGGTAAGAAAAATAAAATTGTTCTTTTTTTAAAACAATGCTAGATGAGACAAAGTTCTGACGAAACAAGAAAAACTGAGGCAGTTCTACAGAAATTTTATTTCAGTGACATATACTAACTGAAATAAAAAGCAACTCTAGCTTTGCCTTCAGTTACACTGCAGTTGAAGAGGAAATACATAGTAGGTAAGGATAATATACTCTCCTTTTCAAAAGCTACTTGTACAAATTCATGGTAGATAGTCAATAATTGCTATTGTTGATTCTGCATTTTGTTCTTATTAGGGATGAATTTATTGAGTATATTATCTCAGAGGAAAACATGCACAGAGTTTCTTGATGTGTAGCAAAAAATGGAATATTTTGATCAATGAGTATTGCATGTTTTCCTGAACACAATGTTTTCTATCAAAAGCTTATTTATGCAGTTCTTTTTTGATGAAGTGCAATACCAACAGATTAGCTCATTAGACATATGTCTGATATATGGAACTAAGCATCTTCAAATGAAAACAAATAAACACCACTGTTTTAAAAGATCAAGTTGTGTGAGAGCACAGTCTGATATGTTTATTAAATATGTAGCTGCATATCCTGTATCCAAGTTTCTGAAATATGCAGAATTATAATTCACTTGCTATTTCTATGTTAACTATAAAGACTTCAGTTAGGTTGAATGGGTTACAAGAGCCAAAATAATAAACCAGATTATTTCAAAACATGCTGATAACATAAACAACTGATACCAATTATTCTGCATTCATCATTACCAGAAGCTGTGCCAACTATCCTATACATATGCATATTCACATTTAATTCACACAAAGCATAAATAGCAATACTTGAAAAAAAATCACAGCTAGTAATTAGTGAATTAACAAGAAACCAGCCAACTAACCTATCACCTAAGCAAACAAAACATATAAAAGAAACCATAAAACCATACCATTAACCAATATCTTATACAAACTATCTTTGATTCACTTAATCCCATTAAACTTCATTGTTCTGTCACACATTGAAATAATTACATCTATTTTTTAGGACTCTCCTGCAGAATAATGAGATCAACTCTTTCAAAATGCCTTGCACAGCTCTGGGCACAGAGTGGGCATATAATAAATAACATTAGCACTGTTACCCGTTTACTTCTCTACCCAATTAAAACAATGATCAAGCTTTAACAAATCAAAACTATAAGTAATAACTTTAAAAAATCAAAACAGCCTAAACTGCTTTTGGCTCAGTGGATAGAGCGTAGGCCTATGGACTGAAAGATCCCAGGTTCAATTCCAGTCAAGGGCATGTACCTTGGTTGTGGGCACAACTCCTGTGGGGGGTGTGCAGGAGGCAGCTGGTAGACGTTTCTCTCTCATCGATGTTTTAAACTCTCTATCCTTCTCCCTTTTTCTCTGTAGAAAATTAATAAAATATATATATTTTTTAAAATCAAAACATGCTTTAAACAATTTAAAGGAAGGAGGCATAAGCTGGAAAGAGAAGGAAAGGCTACTAGAACAAAACAATAGAGAAAAATCTGAACAGTTAGAAGTAAGATTGATAGGACTGGACTGGCTTATTTGGTAAAAGAAAATATAATTAAGTGAAGAGGACACAGTTTCTGAATAATACTAAGGAACAGTTTTGAGG